TTCTACAGTTTCTATACAGCCGTAGCGTTTTCCAAATACGATTACCTAAATGAGATGTCTTCTAAAGCTCTGGAGAGATTAGGAAATGCCGAAAGGTCTTAATCTCGATGAAGGAAAAATCCGAATCTGCACCTCCACGCGGTAGAGGACGGGCAACATCAATTTTGACGGCTAACGCAGATAGGGACCGAGTGATTGCCGGTATAAGCAGTCCCCCACTTACCGACCAACGGCTCCGGGCGGACGAGTAAGTAGGTGGTAGGGCACTATTTTGTCCTGGGGCTGAGAAACTGGCCCCAAAGGCGGAAGAATCAATGGTTTGGTCAACGGCATAAGAATATAGAAGGCAACGAGAAACCACTATATTAAAGATCTCTATGGATATCTCTAGTACAATTATAATGGCTGTACAACTCAATAAAAATTCGCATACTGATCATGGACATTGGAGACCAAGATATGGCAAGAGAGGTCATTCCCATGACCACAGGGCCTCTCAGGTCGTTAATATGCAAAATCCCTGTGAAATACCCAATAAAACACCTTTAAGAAAAGTCCACACGAACTGTATGAAGAGGATATCCACTTGGAACGTTAGGACGATGGCTCAATCAGGAAAAATCCAATGCGCAATTAAAGAAATGGAACGCATGAAAATAGAAATAATGGGCATAAGTGAAATGAGGTGGCCTGACTCAAGTTATTGTGATATAGAAGACTACAGAGTATACTATTCAGGATCAGAAAATAATAAATATGAGAATGGGGTTGGAATTATCACGCATAAAAGTATAGCCAAACAAGTCAACAACTTCATACCAGTGAACGATAGAATCCTCCTGTTACAAATAAATACGTCACCGGTGAACACAAACATCATACAAGTCTATGCACCCACAGCAGACCATAGTGATGAAGAAATATCAGAATTCTACAAACAAATAAGCAACCTTATAAGAGATATACCGAAACACGAACTCATTATAATCATGGGAGATTTCAATGCAAAAATAGGTAACGGAAAAGAAGGCAACATATTGGTCCACATGGATTAGGAGAGAGAAATCAACGCGGAGAAACAATGAGTATCTTTGCAGCTGAGCATGACTTTATCGTGCTAAACACATTTTACAAACTACCGCCTAGCCGCCTGTATACGTGGAAATCACCTAGAGACAACGGAGAAGACGTTATTATTAGAAATCAAATAGACTATATGCTTGTTAACAAAAGATATCGAAATAGTTTCAACAGTGTTAAAACCTACCCAGGCGCTGATATTCAATCTGACCACAATCCTTTAGTGGGCGTGTATAGAACTAAGTTAAAGAAAATACGCGAAAAAACTGTAAAAAACATGACATGAGAAAACTGAAATGTAGCGAAGTAAAAGAAATAGTCAGCAAAACATTAAATAGAAAATTTAAAGAAATCGATAATACAACGGAAAGCACAGCAGATAAGATAGAATCCCTTAAGAAAATAATAGACGACATTAAAGACAATTTTATGAAGAACGAAGAAGGTAAGAATAAGACATGGATGACGACAGAGATTCTGCAACTAATGGAAGAAAGAAGGAAAAACAAGAACGATAACTCCATGTATAAAACATTACAGCGAGAGATACAGAGAAAGATCAGAGAAGCCAAACAGAAAGAACTGGAGAAAAAATGCCAAGAAATCGAAATTCTCCAAAGTAAATACGACGACTTCAACGTGCATAAGAAGGTAAGAGAAATTACAGGTAAATGTTAAAACAGAAGAGTAAGTAAACTTGTTAATGACAATGGAGAGATATTCGTGGACAAAGAGAGTATCAATGATACCTGGAAAAATTACATAAGAAATTTATTTTTTGATGAGAGAGAGAACCAGCCCCCAATACCTACGGAAACAGGACCACCTATACTAGTGGCAGAAATAAGAGCAGCCATAATATCACTAAAAGAAGGTAGAGCTCCAGGACCAGACGGAGTACAATCTGAATTTCTTAAACTTCTTGATGATGAATCTTTAAGAGTACTATGTAAAATCTTCAATAATATCTATGACACAGGCAATATCCCAAAAGATTGGCTACTTTCAGAATTTATTACCTTACCAAAGAAACAGGGAGCCAAAAAGTGCGGAGAATATAGGCTAATAAGTTTAATGAGCCATACATTAAAACTTTTTCTTAAAATTATACATCGTAGAATATACAAGCTATGCGAAGAGAGAATACAAGACACACAGTTTGGATTCATGAAAGGCGTAGGTACAAGAGATGCACTGTTTAGTCTACAAGTATTATTTCAAAGATGCAGAGATATGACTTGCGATATTTACACCTGCTTTGTGGACTACCAAAAAGCATTTGATACAGTTCAACCCCAAAAAATGATGGATATTCTAACAAAAGCCCAAATGGATGATAAAGATCGGCGTATATTACAAAATTTATACTGGAACCAATCAGCCACAATAAGAACGAATTTTGGAGGTGAACCAACGGAAATGATCCAGATTCTACGAGGCGTTAGACAAGGTTGTATACTTTCACTTATATTATTTAATCTATATTCAGAGGAAATATTTAGTGAAGCCTTGGAAAAATGCGAACATGGAATACTTCTAAATGGAAAACGCCTAAACAACATCCGTTATGCAGACGACACCGTTATTTTTGCAGACAGTTTGAACAGTTTACAGCAACTAATAAACAAAGTAAATGAAGTAAGTGAAAGATTTGGACTTCAAGTAAATATAACAAAAACTAAATTTATGATCATCGGCAAAAATAAAGTTAGAGACGCTCAACTACTTATCAATAATACACCAGTGGACCGAGTAAAACAGTATAACTATCTTGGAACAACAGTAAATGAACAATGGGATCACTCACAGGAAATAAAATGTAGAATAGAGAAGGCTAGGAGTGCATTCAATAACATGGCCAAACTCTTTAAAAGCCACAATCTTAATCTGGAGATAAAAGTAAGGCTCCTACGATGTTATATCTTCTCAATATTGTATTACGGAGTTGAATCCTGGACACTAACTGAAGCAATGGAGAAAAAACTTGAAGCCTTCGAGATGTGGCTATACAGGCGAATTCTAAGGATATCATGGACAGACAAGATAACCAACGAGACCGTATTACGAAGAGTGGGCAAAGAAAGAGAGGTGATGTATACCATTAAAAGGAGAAAGTTGGAATATCTCGGACATATAATGAGAAACAGCACTAAATACAGATTACTGAAGGTAATCCTACAGGGTAAAGTATTCGGAAAGCGAGGAATTGGGAGAAGGAGAATATCATGGTTGAAGAACCTGAGGAAATGGTTCTCCACAACAACGAATTTATTTAAAGCAGCAGTTAATAAAATAATTATAGCCAGAATGATTGCCAATATTCGGAACGAATAGGCACTGAAAGAAGAAGAAATGAAAAATGCACTGTGTACCACATGTGGAACATGACGGCTGCTGAAATGAGCCGGCATGTATCACATGTGGTACACGACGGCATGAACGTGTTAAGTTTGTTTAATTATAAAACACAATAAAATACGGGAAGAATGGAGAACGTGCGAACTAATTCTACTATTCAAAAAAGGAGATAAAAACAGCCAGAAAACTACAAATTTTACAAAAACAAAAAAAAAACAAAACAATTTTACAATTGCTAATAAATCTGATGATAAGTTTAGCAGATGAACAATAGAAATAGTCAGAGAAATAGAAAGCATGTAGAAATAGTCAGAGGAATAAGACAAGGGATTCATTGAGCCCCATGCTCTTTAATTTGATCATGATTGAAATCATCAAAAGCGTTAATAAATCAAGAGGATACAGAAATAAAGACCTAAGCTATAAACGACAAGATAAAACATATTTAGAGAATGAAAAAAAAAACTACATAAAATGAGGAATAAGCAAAATCTAATTAATCTCTATAGTGAATAAGAAGGTACCTATAGATTTGACTGAAAACTAGTGTAGGTACCTACTATATTAAAAAAAAAAATGTAAGTTGGTATTAATAAACGTAGCGCTATGCTGTCGAACGTATTTTAAAATAAATAAGTGTAGGGAGATTTACAGATGAAGGGTGATGATAAAATACCTATAGTGTTTAAATAAAGAGATATAGTATACCAACCTTTATTTTATAAAATAAAAAATATCAACAACAATTACAAATTGAATCGACAACATAGGTTTTGTTATTGTATACAATACTAACAATAAAGGAAAATAAATTGTTATGCCAAAAATTACACAAATAGGTAAAATTCAAATTCAACTTAGTCTGCGAAAATCATTTCAAACAATAATTGCACTACTCATTTCACCCCCTAGGGTGCAAACCACTACAATTCAAACTTCAAAAATTCACTCCGAGCACAAATAGATATCCTAATGTTAACCCCATAAACAAATGTGCAACAAAACACAATTTAACTCTACGTGAATCTAACCTAAAAATTGAAGCGTCTCAAAGTCTAGTAGGGAGTGGCTAAACCACACAATATCGATAAGTTACGCCTTCTACGGCTAAAAACAAGTTGTAGGATCGGAGCAGGCCAATGACGAGCTGCTTGGGTGTGGCCAGCGTTGAGTTTCGCTGAACGGTAGCGAAATCTACCGGTTGAGAGGCCAAACCACAGTCCGAAGTGTACTATTATATGATTATTCTTCATTATAGTGCCTACGTCCGTAGGTAGTAGATGGTTGGTTTACAAACGGTCAATTTTCCTACGTAAAAAAACGACATATGCACTCAATTTCGTGTAATTTGGTTTCGGGCTCGATCTTCAAATAGTTTTTACTCAATTATAGTGTGGATTACACCTATTATCGTCATTCAGTGTGCTAAATTGCTTTCCTTGGTTCAGATTAACGTTATTAACTTTTTAAACTGTTCCTATTACCGAAGTTTATCGTTTTCTCACCTTTTCGGGTTAGTGATACAGTGATTCGACTTAGTGATTTTAGTGAACTTTTTCAAGACGTCTCCAAACTTCAGCAAAGTGGATAACAAACCCTTTACAACGTTGAATTTTACGGACCTGGGTTCCCCTTTCGGGGGGCCCAACGAAGATCCTCCAGGCACCCCTACTATGTCGGGAGAGGGTCACATAGGCCCGCCGACACCTCATGAATCCAACAATTCCACACCTGTATCTAAAAGTGCATTCATTGAGCTGCAACAGCACGGATACGGACCCCTGCGGACCTCTTATCAGCACCACTTCAACTCTCCGGCGGGAAATGCACACTCAGGTCCGACGGGGGGTCACGACGGCGGCTTTCCGAGCCCCAGGGGTGCCTTAGGAGCCTATCCCTTTCCTCCGATGCAGCAGCATTCGTATACGGGTTACCATTTGGGATCTTATGCTTCGAATTGTCCTCCTTCTCCTAAAGATGACGGTGAGTTTTCCAAATATTTTCAAAACTCGACATATAAAATCTAATCGTTGATATAATTTAATACAAAAAAAATGTGTACTTGTACTAATGGCTTTGGCTCTTTTGAAGAAATGAAAGAAAAATTTATAAAATTTTTAATAAATTAAAAATTTAGTAATAAATTTAAAATTCCCATTTTTCCGTGGACTTCTATTTTATACTTTTTTTAAATTTTCAATCTTTGGAATCTTCTTAGAAATCTCTGATTTTGAATGGAGCATAGTCCATTATCCATCACTTTGTAGTTTTATTTCGTTTCATTCATTGAAATTTAATATTTTTGTTTGATTGAGCATTTATGAAGGTCCCGTTTTTTACTTCTCTTCAAATCTTTAGCTTGCCTCTCTTTCTTTTCACTCTTGGACATCCAATAGCAAAGTATTTCAGAAAAATGTCTTTTTTGCTTTGGTATGGTTTACGTCTCTATATAGTGTGGAACATAGGTACAGAAATTTTGCACAAATTTCTATTTTACAACTTTTAAACAATTGTCCTGGTATTCCTACTTTAACTTTGATGTTTTCCTACAAAAATATTTGAAATATATTTTAATAAAATTGTAACCAATCCTACAATTTTCTCAATCAATAACAGCATTTACTCTCAACTCATTTGGAAATTTGCTACGACTAAGAAAGATTATCCGACGATAACATATACCTAGGTACCTATCACAAAGATTTGAGGTACCAACATATTTGTTCTTTGTGGTTTCCACATGATATCCACATGATTTTTTTTAAAATTAAATGAACAATATAGTCTTTTGTTAGTAGGAAATCGTGTTGCTGATTATACGTTACTTATCACTCAATTAGCTAATATTAATGAACATCGTTGGTAAATGATATTTCTTACCATTTTTATATATTGATAGTGTTAAAACCTAGGATGTTCATACCTTGATAAAACAGTTTATTTCCGTAATTTTCTGTTTATTGTTTTTTGCCCCCCGTTGACAACATTCTTCATCTCTCTATGGATCCCTTGGCTTTCTTTTTTCAAAATTTTTAGATTGTTCTTCAGTCCCATTTATTTTTTTCGTCGCCAATATTTTCCTCGGATTTCTTCTTCAGTATAATTCCAGAGCTTTAATATAAGCTTAGAATCAAAGTTTCACTCTCAAAGATCACTATAGATCTAATTACTGATTTGTATATTCCTACTTTGAGATTCTTGGTACCACCTTATTTTTGAATAGGTACTTTTGCCGAGCACTTATACATTAATTTTTCGCCATTAATCTAGCTGGCAATTATTTTTCACAAATCTGATATCATTTAAAAATATTTAAAAATTTATATCTGTTCAAACGTATATAATTTTCTTTCTTCGATTTTTATTTAAACCTTTTGTGTTGTATTTATTTTATTTCTGACCACGTTTTCCAGTTTATTCTTGATTTTTAATACTATAACAATATCTTTTGAATGAATGTCTGTTGTAAAATAATAATACTAATCTATTAACATTTGCCCCGCTTAGCCTTTTTATTATGCTCTCTTAATTTTGAATATTTTTTGAACCTGCAGGTTGAGGACTTATCAAATGCTTTATTTTATTGCATAAACCATGATTTTGGTAGTAATAAACAATAATATTAAACGTAGAGCTAAGATTAATATTATTACAAGAATTAATATTAAACACAACATTCTTCCCGCTTGACTAGCGTTAATTATCATTGAGCCGAGCTTTCTACATCCTCTTTGATGTCTTTGTCAGGGCTTCCGAGGTCTTAGTCTCCCGAGCCCCCAGACACTACTACACTGATCACTAACCAGTAATGTAACATAATGCAGGTATAGTAATGTAAGTAATGGTTTGGTTAGTGATCACTGTAGTAATGTCTGAGGGCTCGGGAGACTGAGAACTCAGAAACCCTGGAGAAGACATCAAAGAGGATGTCGAAAGCTCGGCTCAATGATAATCAACGCGGTTCAATCCGGAAGACTTATAAATTTAATATTAATTCTTGTAATAGTATTAATCATAGTTCTATATGAAGCCTATTCAGAGTTTCTTCTTCTTCAAGTTCCACTCCTATCGGAGATTGGAAATCATTCTGGCAATTATAATTTTATTGGTTACTCGCCTGAATAGTTCAATTGAACTGCATCCAAACCATTCACGGAGATTGCGTAGCCACGAGATTTTACGTCTTCCTACGCTTCTTCTACCTTTTATTTTACCCTGCATTTTATTCCTTAGTAGTTCTTACTTTTCACCTCTCATGATGTGTCCCAAGTATTCCAATTTCCTGATTTTTATGGAATTTAAAACTTCGCATTGTTTTCCTAGTTGTTCGAGAACTTGTTCGTTTGTTTTGCGATCCATCCATGATATTTTCAAAATACGTCGGTAACACCACATTTCGAATGCTTCTAGGTTTTTAATGTTGGATTTTTTAAGTGTCCAAGCTTCAACTCCATACAAAAGGGTAGAGAAAATATAACATCGAAGCATTCTTATCCGGAGCGATATATTGATATCGCGATTACAAAAAAGTTTTCTCATTCTATTAAAAGTTGACCGCGCAATTTCAATGCGGCATCTTATTTCTTTTGTCTGATCAGTATTTTCTGTGATCCATGCTCCAAGGTATTCAGAGTTTACCTTCATCAAATAGAGAATTTACCTAATACTGCCGACTCAATACACACACACACCCAGATACATACACATTTCCTTCATTTTACCTTCGATTTAGGATCTTTTAAGCCGGCACTCTTTCTTAATTTTTTCAAAACACATTTAATTATTTTCGAGAACGTTTCAATATTTGAAAGTCTTCTATACTATCTTGAAATTATCACTTTTCGTATGTTTGTCTTATTTAAATAGAGTTTAAAGAACTTATAACCGAAAAATAAAAATCTTGGCTTTAGGCTTTATTTGAGCACAATAAAAGTTTTGTAATTTATTATAACTGCTTAAAAAGTAGCGTTTCTTCCACTTTATCCCCGCTTTATGATTTTTTTGGTCGACACTTTTTCTTTATTTTTTCAACACATGCTATCCAAGTATTTTCTTTATATTCTTTGTATTATTTGTCTCTATATTCTTTGTATATAGGTAACGTTTATTTAAAAAGGATACCAAGAAATTAAGACCTGATGACGTATTGCTCAACGTCAATCTAATTTTATCCTAATATTCCTGTACAATATTTTCTGTAGCCGTTTTTAATATTCTTTAAATTTATTTTACTAGAAGATCTGGACGAGAATCTACTGTTTTATGCTTTATTTGGATGTAGAAAGAGTTTGGCAATTCATTATATTTGCTTGGAAAATAGACTAATAGAAAAACTATCACAAGGAACACTGTTGCGTTACATACTTTGTGTCTATTTTTTTTCTTAGTTTGTCTTTTATTATTATTCAATCACAACACTGTATATTTGATGATTTCTATTGCTATTCTTTATTAAACTTTTCTTATCTTTTCCCATCTTAATTCAACGGTATAATATTAAAATCCACTTCTTGATTTTAAAGCTAATTTCTGATAACCTTATCTTTATAACAATGACCTTACTACAAAATACTGTCTTAAAATAATTAATATCTTGATATTTGCTTTTAATGTTGTGCAATTTTTCCAATAATGTATAAAAGATATAAGGGTGGGGGGTCATTTTTTGTAAGTTTATAGAAGAAAGTTATGGATGCACACGATACTACTAATCTGTGTTGCTTGGTGCTTGTGTTTTATAATCTTACAATTTTACATAGGTATAATCATGATACTATGAATAACAAGATAGGATCTTCCCGTAGCTCAAAATCGGTCGGGTTCGCGCATGCCGTCATTGGAGAGTAGAATTTGAATTCTTGTTAAAGTTAAATGAGATTTGTATGCATTCTGTGATGAAATTACTAGACGAAAATAAGTTAAGAGGTTTAATAATTACAATAATCGTACACATAAGGATATCTCCAAACTATTTATTAATGATTATTTATTGATATACACAAAAACTGACATTTCGAATGTGCAAGTCTCCAATGACGTCACAAAAACATGCGCAATATCTTATCTTATAGTCATAGTATCATGGGTATAATCTAGACTTTCGATTGATTCATTGACGTATTGATAAATAAATAACACATTATTTGTAAAATTCAATAATTCTTTTATAAGCCATTACATTTCTTTACAAATTTATCAATTTTTTCTTTATACCATCTTACAAGGTGAAATTACCTTTTTTTTCTTGTATCTTTACAATGATTGGGATGCTTTCCCAAAGCCTACTATAGTTTTTTCTTTTTCCCATCCAAAATTTTTTTTTTTTCAGATTTCTATTATTAATTCAATTATGACTTTGTTAATTGGTTTTTCTATTTACTTGATACTCGTGGTGATACCACTCCATGACCAGGGTTCCATTTTTATTTATAGTCCATATTTCTATCTTCCTTTTGTATGCCAGTATCATCTTATTATCGCAGATTTAATAAATCATTACATATTTCCACTATTTCGGACATTTCGTGATAGGTACCGTATCTTCATATATTTATTACCTATAGCGAATTTTTTGGTTCTATTATCCATATTATAACTTTACTTTTGAAGATTCTTTAAGCCTTCTTCCTCTTTTGGCAATGATTGTTTCTGATTCAACTGTTTCTGCTTCATGTTATTAATGATTTTTGTTTGTTTTAGAGTCTTTAATCTGTTAGACAGTTTATCTTTTTTTGCATATATTTTTTATTACAATAAAATGATTTTAAATAGTTTCTGATGTCTTATTTTCTTTTTTCCGATTTATCAGTACTCATAGCAAACACAAAGTTGCCACTTGCTTTAATGTATTTATTATTTCATACGGTCAATGTAGGTCCAAATATTAAAAAACCATTTAGCTAGTGCAACTATTTAAAGTGGAACGTTTTTCAGAAAGGGATGAATTATTCCCTATGCGATAGACTAGATTTAAGTGAGACATA